TGGCCTCTGCATGGTGAGGCCGAGTCAGACCAGCGGCTTCCAAGTGGCTTGCAAGAGGGTGACGTGGACATCATCCAAGACTGTGCCGAGCAGGCTGGGGTCTGAGGGCTGCTCTACTGTTTCTCAGAGGAATGGTACAGGGGTCTTCAGAGGGAAAGTGTGCAGGAAGGGAGGCCCAGAGGCCAGCCTGTCACTCAGGTCCCATGGAAAGTCTCAGAGCACCCCTTACCCAGCACCAGGTCCTGTGTGCTCTCTGCTCCTTCATACATTCCTGTCCTGGGTGGATCCCCATGTAGACCCTGGCTCTCCACCTTCCATGAGGTCAGCATCCTCCCAATTCTACTCTAGTCATGAGGTCACAGGGAAGGTGTGTCTTTCTGTCTGTCTATCTATCTATCTATCTATCTATCTATCTATCTATCTATCTATCCATCCATCTATCTATATCCAATCAGCCAACAAAACCACTTGGAAGCCAGGGCAGACTTCTGAAACGTTCTCTCAGTCACCCCATCTGCAGATTCTTGGCCTTTGACATTGGGTACTTTCTTACTCTCTCCAGCCTTCCTTCTGAGTGTGTCTGGTGGGTCAGGGCTTCCACCCGCTCTGCTCGCAGAGTGGAAGCTCCCAGATCCAGCTAAGCTGAGGATGAGTGTGGCAGGAAGCTGGCAATCACAGCTTAGCCTCCTCCTCTTACTGACCATTCAAGTCTTAGGAAGGATTTCCCTTCTTTTCTTCATGCTATTTTCAATGCTGGACATTAAACCCAGGGCCTTGGGCCTACCTCCAAGCTATACCCCCAGGCCTCTGTCGCCTCAGACATCATCCTCACACTGAGAGCTGCATCTCCAAGGCAACCATCAATCTTTAAGTCACTCAGTTGTCAGTGTCTATGTTGTGGTTCAGATACTGGGGGACAATGATACGTGGGTTCAGCTGGAAACCTGCTGATGGAGAGAGGTCCTCTCCCTGTGGACTACGGGCAGTGAGAATCCTGGGTGTCCCGGGTTCTGAAGAGGCCAAGTTCAGCCTTTCCTGGAGCTGGGGTCACATGGGGCTGGGAGCTGCTCAGTGTATGCACCAGGAAGGGAGCTCAGGCCCTCTGGAGGGGCAGGCAATGTTTTCAACTGCTGAGCCATTTCTCCAGCCCCATGGAGGCTTTCTTTTTTATTGTTTTTTTCTTTTTTATTGTTATTTGCGCTCTCTCTCTCTCTCTCTCTCTGTGTGTGTGTGTGTGTGTGTGTGTGTGTGTGTATGTCCTTATGTGCGTGTGTATGTGCATGCACAGGTCAGTGGTGAACATTAGTGTCTCATTCAGTCTCTTTCCACCCTAATTCTGAGAAAAATAACTGAACCCTGAGCTCACCAACCAACTCTACATCCACCTATCCCTAACCTCCCAGGGCTGTGATTAAGGGCAGACACTGCCAGGGGGTGGTGTTTTACATGGGTTTTGGGGATCTGGATTCTGGTCCCTGTATGACAAAGAACTGAGCTGGCTCCTTAGCCCCGGGTTCTGTGCTTTGAGACAGAGTATTCCTATATCCAGGCTGGCCCCACACTAAGGGTGTAAGCTAGGCTACTCCCAAACCTTCAGTCCCATCCTCTTGCTTCACACCCCAAGTGCTAGAATGGAAGGTGTGGAACTCATGTACTCCAATCTCTCCAGCAGGCGTCAGTGGAAGCGTGAGTGTGCGCATGTGTGCGTGTGTGTGTGTGTGTGTGTGTGTGTGTGTGTGTGTGCGTGCGCGCGCTGGTGGGGGTGCACAGCTACTGATTTCAAACTCTTCCAACCTGAGTTGATTCCAGTTTGTGATTAATGTTTCATGCGGCGCCACCCCCCTTCAGGTTTCCTCACCCAGAGATTGTGGTGTGTGCGGTCTCCGCAAGCTCTGACCGACAAAGAAGCAAGATTAGCTAATTTCCTCCACAGCTCTTTTCCCTCAGAAGCTGCTGTCGGAATAGACTCTGGTGGGCCAGAAGTATGTTTTTAGGCGTATTACTTTGTGTGCATGTGTATGTGCACGTGTGCGGGCCAGGGAGCACGTGTGGAGGTCAGAGGGCAGCTTGCGGGAGGCAGTTACCTACTTCCGCCACGTGGGTCTCAGGCGTGGAGCCTTACCCACGGGAGACTTCTGGACAGGGGAGAGCTGTGACTTGAATGTGCCAGCCTCGGCCACACCTCCTCCTAATGATGCAACGGCGCTGGGAAAGAGAGAGCACACTGCGAACCCTGTGGGAACCCTGGCGTTCTGTCAGTTCTCAGAAGCAGCTTGCGCTCCCGAGCTCCTCAGTCCTCTGGGGGCGGAGGGGGCCGGGCCCACGGCTGTTTGCCAGCGAGTTCTGCCCACGAAGCACGCCCGTGGGTGGCGATTTGCTTCCTGCGCCTTTCTAGTGACTGTGGGCTGGTGACTACGGCGTTTAACGACAGGACTCAGGAGCTCAGTTACGACAACGGTGTCCCTGTCATCAATGCCCTTTGTTTTCAGTGAACCAGGAGGGGCTGCTTCATGTTAACAAGCTCCAGTGATGGGGAGGAGGGGAGGAGCGGGTAGGCCACCGACTAGCCTTTCCGTGGGGTCAGCTGACCTCCATGGTGAGGGGCCTGCATGGTGACACACACACACCCTTCCTTCTGTTGGAGCAGCAATCGCTTGTGTTTACAAACGAGCATCACTTTCGCCATTTTTGGTTACTAGAAATGCCCTGGGGAGAAGTTATTTTTTGGTGGTGGTGGTGGGGGGGTCTTCCTGCCTCAGCGTGGAATCTTCTCTCACAGGGGAGACACGAGTGGAGCAGGGCGTGATCTTGGTGGAGGACCTAACTAGGCGCCAGGCAAGGCATTTGCCTCTACGTATGGGTGTGCAGGCTTGCACTCGAAAGGCCAGGCAGGTGGCAAACTTGAGCGTTGCTCTCCAGATGCCATTTCTTCCTAATTGCATTTGTTTGTTGTGCACGCGCACATGTGTTCAGAGGTCAGCAGGCACCTTTCAGTGTTAGTCCTCTTCCTCCACCGAGGGCATCTCAGGGACTGAACCCTGTGCTTAGTGGCAAGCACCGTAGTTGCTGCTCTGTCTGCCCCTCATCTTGTTTTCTGACGCTTGGTCTCTTGTTGGTCTGGAACTATGAGTTCGGCCAGGCTGGCTGGCTGGTGAGCCCCAGGCCTTACCTGCCTTGCCTCCCTCATGCTGGGATTCTAAGCATGCACCCCTGCACACCCTAGGTGGGCTCTGGGGGTTGAACTCAGGCCCTTGTGTTTGTGTGGCAGGCACTTTGCCGGCTGAGCCATAACCCCAGCCAAAGGTACGCCTCTAGATGCTGCCCCCTCCTCTGTTTACGCAAAAGATCTGGTTGTGACCGGTTTCATTACCAGGCCACCTCTGTGGTTCATTACCAGAACCACAGAGAGCCAAGACCTTGCTCTGATGTCTTTCGGCCACTTAGCACAGAGCAAAGATTTGAATGCAGGGGTCTCTATAACTTACTACACACTGCACCTGGGAAAAAGAACACGATAAAACAAGCAAAAAGCCAAGAACCACCAAGAAAATGAGTGAGGCAGAAGGATGCTTTATTTGTGATCCGATCAAGTAAAAACCCTGGATGACTTTAAAAAAAAACCGTTTTGGAAGAAACCATATTGATTCAGACATTAAAAAAAGGCCACTTGCTTTTTTGGGGAACTTACCCCTCCCTCCTCCTCAAGGTGGACAAGCCATGCGGTGTTCCCACTTTCGGCTGAAAAGGTGGATGGAAGTGAAAAGTCCCTCGTGAGGGTGAGGTTGAGCTCTGCCTGTCTCTGCCTCATTCTCACAGTGAGGGCTGTGGTGTGAGATCAGTTCTCTGAGGCAGACCCAGCTCCTTCCCAGGGCGTTCCTACCCCTCAACTCTTGTTCTTTTCCGCTTGCCTGAAATACTGTACCTTGGCGCTGGAGAAACTTCTGGTAAAACTGGTCAGTTGGGAAACAGAATAGACAGAAAACCATTGGCAGACCCCAGCCACTTCTGCTGGGACAGCCCCAAAACTAGAGCCCAACTGTGACCATAAACTCCCAACTATGGACAGACCCAGAACTGCCCAGATTCCAGCTCTGCCCAATCTGGGGTTCACACGGCGTATGACAATTGGGATAAAGACTCTTCAAGCACAGGATGTCTTCACACTTCCTGGTCCCTTAGCAGGTGCCACAGGGGTTCTGAATGTGTACCCGTGTGCCCAGCTGCAGAAAAATAAGTACCGAGCCAAGCCAGGGCCCGGGGTAGCGAGAAGGTCACCATGGAAGGTGCAGGCCCCTGGAAATTCCCTGCTGCCCAGAACAGAGAGCCTCAGCTCTTTTACTTCCCTGAAACCCCAGGAGGCTCTGCCCTCTCATGTAGGCACTTCCTCTTGTGGCTCTCGAGTTGGTACTAAGCCTGCAAGAGCCAGGATGCCCCAAGCCCCTCACTGGAGACACACCCTGAGGCCTTTCACCTTAGTGCAAGCCAGCTGTGACCTTGAACCTAGAGTGCTTCCATCAGCTGGGTCCCCAGGGACAGCTCTGCCCCAGGGCGGGGCTGTCACCCCACTTCACCCTGCACAGCAGGAGCCAAGCAACTTTCTCCACTATTTCGGTTTCCCTTGGCTTGGTTCACAGAGGGAGGTCTAGGGTGGGGCTAGCGGTTGGGGGTGGGGGTAGCTCTGAGCTCCATCAAGTTTTGGCAATCACCTGAAAGGGCAGGTGGGGTCACTCCTGGGTACCTCCTGTAGCCCTGGATTGACAAGAGTGCTGTTGGAGGCCTCATGGCATGGGCCCCTCCGTACTGGGCGTCTGGACTGTGCTCAGGGAGCTAAGGGTGAGGAGAAGAAGAGGAAAGAGAGGAGAGGAGAGGAGGAGGGAGAGGAGAGAAGGAGGGAGAGGAAGTCCCTGGTGCCTGAGAGGCTGGGTCAGAAGCGCGTGGCCGCGGACGGTTGGGGGCGCGCCGGGCTGGGGCGCGGAGCCGCGGAAGGGGCGGTGCGTCGGGGTCCGCGTCGGGGTCGCGCGTCGGGCGCGCCGTGGCCCCGTCGGGGCGGCGGGAGCTGCGGAGCCGCCATGGCGGACCTGGAGGCCGTGCTGGCCGACGTCAGCTACCTGATGGCCATGGAGAAGAGCAAGGCGGCGCCGGCCGCGCGCGCCAGCAAGAAGGTTGTCCTGCCGGAGCCCAGGTACGACTCCGGCCCTCTCTGCCCTCTCCAGTCCCTCTAGTCCTTTCCCGCCCTCTCGGGTTCCCTCCCGATCCCTCCGGGTCCTCTCCTCCCCTCTCCGGCTCCCTCCCGCCCCCCTTCAGTCCCCTTCTCTCTCCTGTGGTCCTCTCTCTCCCCCTCTGGTCCCTCCAGTCCCCTCCGTGCCCCTTCGGCCCCTGCTGTCCCGGGCTGGTTGCAGGGCTGTTTGTCAGCACCCCTTCTCCTGTCCCCTAACCCCCTTCAGCAGTGAGTAGACCTTGAGTTCCTCGGCTCTGTTCCCAGAGCTGTTTCCCGAGCCACTTTCCTCAACTTGGACCCCTGGCGGCCTGCCCTTTCTGGAAAGGATGACAGGGGAGCCACTTGAGCCGAGCGAGCGGCAACACCAGGCTGAATTGGCCCTAGCTGGTGACTCCCTGCCAAGTTTACCCTTTTATCACCACTGATTGATTATTGATTTCACGGAGGTGTGATGGCTTCTTAGAGATGGACTTGTCCCAGGGAGAGTTCCCACCGGTGTTCGAGAGCAGTGCTGTAAGCTCACATCTTAACTGACCCCACTGCCAGTTGCATAGCCTGTGTGGTTTTCTGTGCACAACAACAGCCCCTGGAGTATATGGTAAAATTGTCTTGGACTTTATGGCCACCCCTGAACCATGCTGTTCTGTGAGGATCTAAACCAAAGCTGCTCCCCCTTTGAAATGGTCAAGCATGACACACCCATGTAGCATCAATGTTACCTTCACATAAGGGAAAAATGTACGTACTTATTATTTTCAATTTTTTGAGGTACTAGCGATGGGACCCAGGGTTTCACACAGGTACCTAGCAGGAGGCACAGCCCCAGAGAAGCTTTCAAAGCCTGCAAGATGGTCAGATTGTTTTTTTCCAAGTGTGTTTGTGAGCCCCGTGATCCAGGGAGCGTTGAGTCTCTGTGCTGTGTTTGCTGGGAAGAGTCACTCTGTACGCACAGCTGTGCTGGCTGGGTATTTTTGGCTTGCCTTCCCTTCCAAGCCTTGGCCCCTTGCTGTTTTTCGGAGTGTGTTGCTCCCTGGCAGAGCAAACCAGGCCCAAGGGAGACTTCGGTGGACTGTGGCCATGCATGTCCTCCTGGACTTTAACCTATCTGAAGCTCACTGAAAAGGGGTCTTGATGGAAATCTCCAGTAAGTGGGATGGGGCAAGACCCAGGACTCCCCAAGTCACACCCAAGCCTCAGTGGAGAACTTCCCCTATGGGGAACATGAAAAAGCTTCCTCCCATTCTCTCTCCCCTTTCTTCTGCCCCTATGCTGTGAGGGGCAGGGAATCTTAAATATGTATGGTTTCTATATATAAAACCAATAAATAGTAACTCATGGGGACTCCGATGGGGGAGGGGTAGATAAGATTGCTAAATTAGGAACGTCTGACTGCTCATCATTTTTTTTTTCTTGGTAGTTTGAACCTAGCTGGGCTTCTCTCTGTACTATTGCTCTTAGGCGCACACTCCAGTGCCCAGGGCCCTCACTTCCCTGTACCAACACCTCTGATTTTATGTGGACTTTGGTGATACTTTATTTCAAAGGAGACTTGGTGTGGCTGAGCTTGTGAGTCCTGACATTCTAAGGTTGATGGATGGCAACAGGAGAATCAAGTTGGGACAGAGGCCTCCGAGGATTGCTATTATGTTGCTGTTTTTCAGGTAGACACTTGAATTAGGCCATCTGCCCCACTCCAGGAGTCTAATTTGTTGCCCCTTTGTCTTAGAGGCTTCAGCTCCTAACTGCCAACCACTCAGGGACAGTGGCGCCAGGTGCCTTGTGAGGATCTGGCTGTTGGAAGACACTATTTGGAATTGTGTTTGCCCAGTGAGGAGCATGCATTTGAACTTGCCCATTGGTCTTTCGCTATTGATTTTTTAATTTCCAACTAATTATCTGGTCACCGTCAGTATTCTTGGTGCTTCCTTATCTCAGTGACTTTGCCTCTTCCCAGTCTTCAGCAGAGAACAGTATCTCGTTAATTATAATGAGACGGGTCTGCAGGGCCCAGCCTCCCTTGGCTGTTATGGAGCATCACAGAAAATGGGACACTGAGCTCAGGGGAAGAGTGTGCCTCCCCCGAGAAGGCAAGAGGCAAACATTTTGTTATGTTGACACATTATTCAATTAACAGGCCGATGGGTGTAAATCCTCGGAAGACTGACTATTTGTTCAAATCACGTCTCTGCTTTAGTTCACCCAAACATTTGTTGAGCTAATGGGGCTGATAATGGGGCCTGTTGGAGGTGGTGGCTGTGACCCTTGCGGCCTGTTAGCCAGGGCATTTATCTACTGTGGCCATTGTATGCCATGATGACAAGAGATGTCTCAGTTGAAGGCTCCAAGAGTCAGTTTCTAAGTCTTGCCGAGGCTAAGACAGCTCTTCACATTGGGTCCATTTCTCTGTTAGCCTTTTCCAAACAGAATGTTAGTGAGTTGACTTGAAGTCACCTGTGGCTGAAAAGAAGTTGAGAAATGAGGCTGGGTCTCCCCACTGAGAGATGCTTTCTGTTTCCTGGCCATTGATGATGTTGGGACCTCCTTCGGGAAGCTCCTGTTGTCAGTCGTTCAAGCTGAATAACTGGAGGGGCAGAAAGTTCACAGCCTGGGCTGTGGGCGTGCCCAAGAGGATGCGTGGAAGTCCTAGGACATCCTCAGCTGCTGGTGCTCACTGCCCACCTTGCTTGAGTCGGGTCTTGTCCGCTGCTGCGTAGGTCGGAACAGCCGACCCTCACGCTCCCCGCCTTCTCCCGTCTCTGGCTCCCACCTCGCCGTAAGAGCAACACAGAAATTACAGATGCATGCCACCTTGTCCTTCTTTACGTGGTTTCTGGGGATTGGAACTCAGGCATCCACACCCTCGGTTTACTTACTCAGCCCTCTTTCCAGCCCTGCTTGTTGGTTCCTAGCCTAAGTGGGTGGCAGTCTGGTTTCTCAGAAGCCGGTGTGGGGAATGTCCTGAAGCACCACACAGCCCTTCCCCAGAAGCCTCTGATAGTAAAGACGCAGGGAGTAGACTCCGGCAAGGGGCTTCCTCTCAGATGCGGGTACTCCAGCGTTCTATTTAACCCCAGATGGCCATCATTTGTGTTCTATGGTTCTGTATTTGTGGATCACGTGCTTTCTCGTAACTTGGGAAGAGCTGGCCAGGCTTGGCAACATGTAAGCGACATGGCCGTTCCAGCCTCCTGTGTGTCTAATTGCCCCTGTGACCCACGTGGAAAGGGTGTGGCCGTCTGTCCTTTCACGTTGGGATCACTTGAGAGGGCCCTCGCTATTCAGCTTGTAGGATGGTCCCTGGCTTGGTTCTGTGCCCACAGCCTAACTTGGAAAAATGTGGTAAGAGCCGAGAAGGATGGGAGGTAGCAGGTGGTAGCCCTCTGAAAGGCTCACCCCCTCACCCTCAAACCTGACGACAACCCCAGCACTGAAAACAAAACAACCAACCTGCAGAGCCTTCCGGAAGAGCATGCTTTATTTCGGATGGGAGTCATTCTAAGAGGGGGAAGCTCTTCTTCCCAATACCACTCGAAAACTTGAAAGGCAATTTGTCCCGACCTTTCCGTTATTATTTCATTCTTGGTCAAAGTTAATTTGTGCCAGTGACTTGGAGAGGCACGGACTGCTCACAGCTGTGGGTTCTTGGGAACAGATGTTTCGGAGCAATCAATTTGGGATGAGGACCTGCCCTGAGGAACACCATAAAGTGCTTTAAATTCGCAGCCCCCTGTGTCTCTTGGAGGTACAGGCAGTCCCTGCTTTGATGATCTGTTCTTAGAGACAGCCCACAACACTGCACTCGGCTTTGCCAAACACCCGAGGAAGCCAGGGATAAAACTCAGGGAAGGACATCAAGGTTGGAGGGCACTCCGTGAGGGTCTTTGTCAGCAGGTGGATGGATGGATACCAATGGTGGGAAGTGAGATAGGGAGCAATAAGGGGCTTTCCCTCCTGGGTTCCCCAGCACCCAGACAAAGGAAATGTGTCTTCTAGGTAATGGCATAGGAACCAATGTTACAGGGAACATCTCTGCCAGGTCGTGGTGGTTCCATCAGGTGCTGCCATGGTAGCCATGCCAGGTGCACAGCATTCTCGGGTTTCACAGAGGGATCTGTGCTCAAGGGCACCGCAGAAGAGAAGGCGGGTAGCCACAGGCAGGATCCAGGACGAGGGATGCCAGATGCGGGATGTGAAGCCAGACTCCCCATTCTACTCGCTGGGCAGCTTAGACTGCCCCGCCCAACCCCGTTGAACAGAATAGCAAACAACCTCACCTCTTCTTTTGCAAGGAAGTGAGGGAGATTTTTGTGTTTAACTCGGGGAAAGGTCATGTTGGGAGATCCTAGTGTGGCCTTGGGGTACCAGAACTGTCCTGAGAGGCTTCCAGACAGCCTTGACTCCTCTGGCCCTCCGAGGGAAGTAATTATGATGAAGTGAATCTTAGGTGATGTCCTGTTTCCCAAGAGGAACATGAGGTGTGATAACGAGCAAAAAAGTGTGGTGTGCAGTCTTGCTGGAGTGATGAGGAGCTGTGATGAAGATCACCTCATCTCCTCCCCCCTTCCATCTCTAGGAAAAAATAAAAAGGGAAAGAGAACGTATTTCGCTTTATTCTTAATAAAAATCCCTATTCCAAAGGACCTTTTCTTGTTAGAGAATAATAAGGTGTGAGGGCTCCTGTAGGGGAGTGAAGTTCTGCCAGCGGAGCGTGGCTGTCTCCTCATTACTGTATCCCTCTGTGGACACAGGGAATAAGAACAGAAGTGATGGGCTCAGTGTTCGGGCTAGTCTCCGGTCAGCTTGACGTAGCTAGAGTCATAGGAGAGGAGGGAGCCCCAATTGTGAAAATGCCTCCATAAGATTCAGCTATAGGCAAGCCTGTAGAGTATTTTCTTAATTAGTGATTGATGGGGGAGGGCCCAGCCCATTGGGGATAGTACCGTCCTTTGGCTGGTGGTCCCGGG